CATGGCTGGCTGGGGAATTCTGGGAGTTGAAGTCCACTCCTCTTAAAGTGGCCAAGTTTGGACAACACTGTTCTAGGCAAAGGGTTTACTGCACCCTGCCTTACTCATGCATTTTTTTAACGGGAGCCCATGCACTGTTGCCTCCTATTTGTAATTCTGCCATCTTTTCCAACAATTTCTGTTCAGGTGGGGAAAATGGAATAGTTGCACAACCGTCGCACGTCCAGGTTCCAGAGGTACACATGGCCACTCAGTTCATTTCTGCTCTACGCTTTGTATCGAAAGCTCCCCTTAAAGGTGATCAACCAAGCCCACGTATCAGCGGTATACAAACGGGCACATTTAGTCGTGGTTGCTCTTATTATCGTTCACACAGTGGAGGTTAAGGAACTGGAAGGGCCTCCGGGCATTCCAGGCTCCAGCCCACCCTTAGCCACGGGAGCTGCCTGGGCGACTTCGGGCCTGCCACTCTCGCAGGGCTGTTGTTTGGGGAGGGAAATGGAGATGCACAACCCGCCCAAAGGACAGGCGGAATATAATTCTGATAAATCAACTATTCCGCGCAACTCCAACCCTCCAGATCAAACCAACTCGACTCGACTGCGAGGAAATAAGCGCAGGCAGGAACCGCAGCGCCTCCGGGAGTCAAACGAAGGCTGCACCTTTCTCCTTTGCCTCCAACCGAGCCCAGCCAACGGCCCTTCTTCGCCTCCCGCCTTTCCCGAGCAGCCCGCGGATTCCCCGACGCCCGCGTCCTCCGCCTTCAGGCCGAGCCCCCAGGCCGCTCTCGCGCCCCACCTTGGCCAGGCGGATCATCTGCTTGGCGATCTCGAGATCCCCCTGGTGATTCTGGCCGATCTCGGCGATGATAAAGCACGGGTGGTCTCCGCCGACGAGCCGGCCCGGGCACAACTCGAACTGCAGGGGCATCGTGGCGATCGCGGAGGACCGGGCGGCGGCGCAGCCTTCGGAGCAACGGCGGCGCGCCCGCGGTCAGGCCGAATGGACTGATACAAAGCGCCGCTCCGCCCCTCCGGCGACACCGGCAGGCTTCCACGGCGCATGCGCCCCGTGCCCACGCCCAGGCGTCCTGGCGAACACGTCGCCTCTCTGGCGATGACGCGAGGAGACCGGCGCTGCGCCTCATCCAATCCTCGCCAGCCAATCAGAGGCCGAGAAGGGTGGCAGAGTCCCCACCAGCCGCCTGCTGGTGGCGCTCGCGGCCTGCTTTCCCCTGCGGGTCCTGAGAAGGGGGCAATTTGGCGGGCTGAGGGTTTTGCAAAGAGAAAGTTTGAGATCTTCGTAGGCTTGGTCGGGTGGGGGACTTCTGGCGCTGGGGGGCCACCCGCCCCACGCCAGGACCGCCTCAGACCGCTTAGGAAAGCCCAAAGGCAGAGTCGCTTGGTGTGAGATGGGCGGCGATAGAAATATGATCAATAAATAAAATAAATGCAAAGGCAGAACCCGACGCTTGTCCGTTATTCAGCGCGGTTGTTGGAGCGCCAGATGGAGCCTGGGGATGGGGCACTCCGGAAGGAAACAGGAAGAGGTTACGGCTAACACCCATTGCTTCTGGCAACGGACGGAGGAAAACCTTTTGCATAGATAAAACTGGAGGTTGCGTTCTCTTCTCTCTCCTTCTGAAAGAATTTGCACAGTCCGGACACTTTAGGAGTGGCAAAATGGGAGGAGAAAAGAACTTGGAAGATTTGTAATTATTTACTATGTTTTGTATTTGAATATCTAGATCAGTGTTTCTCAACTTTGGCCACTTTAAGATGCATGGACTTCAGCTCCCAGAATTCCCCAGCCAGCAATTCTGGGAGTTGAAGTCCACACACGTTAAAGTGGCCAAGGTTGAGAAACACTGATCTAGATAGAATAATGCAAACTTCCCCAGCCAATTGCCTGCTGGATGTTGGAACACAACTCGTTACAACCAGCCAACCTGCTGGCTATGAATGATGGGATGTGTAGTCCTACATGTCTGGAAAATACCCCTTTTGAGGATGGTTGTAATAGTGCAATGCCTTTAAACCCCACATTGCTTTTAAAAATAATTGGATTTGCTTCATTTTGAATTTTAGGACATTTGCAGCAGCCGCTCTGCCTCACCTTACATTCATCCAGTGTGTTTACTGATAATTCTGGAACTGAAACCTCACCATACCTGCTGGGTTTTGAGGAAGTCTGATACTTAGAAATGTAACTTTTTCTGCTCCCTCCTCTAAAACACGTGGAGTAGTGTTGTGCAGCAAAGGCTGGCAAATTCGTTTATCCCGCACGTAACACGAATCAGGCACACGGAGTCAGGGGAAGTCTCTCTTAGTCACTTTATTCAAGTGCTTCAGTAAAGAGGGTCCCATCTCTCGAAGGGAGATGGACCTTGAGCAAAGCTTTCTGTCAAATTTTATACATTTCATGAATGAGGAAGTAGGTACAGGAAAAATAGAATTGGTTACATTGTGTCACATTGTCGGGCAGGCGTACTTGGTTCCATGTTACATACTAACATCCCATAATGAGCTTAGCATGTTCTATGTTTTCTAATATCTCCAGCTTAGGGGTGTGCATTTTACTATGCTAATTAACTTTTAGGTTACAACTAGGTCAGCTAGGTGGTCTTGCAACTAGGTCATCCTGTGTTTTTTGAACATCGCACCACCTTATCTTCCCCTCCACAGGGCACCCTCCTTGCAAGGTACCCACAAACAAACCTTTCACTTGTTATCCTCCTCTCGCAGCTTAACCACAAATGTTCAACAGTGTGCTCTAGTATGTAAGTGTTAAAGATAAGATTGTCTGCTACTCAGCTGTCGGGCCCTCAAGCCCTTTGGATTTAATCTTCAAAGGTGGGAGCACCAAGTACCTGTTGCAACACTTAAAACATCTGTGTCTTTTCTCAGGATTGTGCAGTTGCTCTCTGAAATTCTCAAATACTTCAAGCACACTTCAGAGGTGGGATCTAAAGCTCTGCTTATCCATACCAATACCAATACCAATACCAATACCAATACCAATACCAATACCAATACCAATACCCATACCATACCATACCATACCATACCATACCATACCATACCATACCATACCATACCATACCATACCATACCATAC